TTCTTATTTCAAAGAAAACTTAGGCAGGGGTTGTCCTCGCATGATTGGGTCTACGATCTTCCATAGTAGATCACCTTCTTCGAATTTTCTTGGCACCACAGTCTGATTATAGGCTCGGGGGATGGACTCATGATACCTTTCCATGACTTTTGTGGCTCTGTCGTGCTTTTTCTCTAATGCCTCCAATCTGGTGGTTCGAGGCTCTAGCACCATCCCCGAGGTGAGAGCCATCCGAGCAGATGGTGTTTCCAACTTTATAGGTAACACTGCCTCGGACCCATACACAAGGGAGTAAGGAGTTGCTTGTGTTGGCTTTCTCTTTGAGGTGCGATATGTCCATAGGGCTACTATCAACTATTTGGACCAGGTCCCACCAAATACATCCATCATCTTGCTCAGAATCCTTATCAATGTCTTATTTGTGGCCTTTGCTTGCCCATTCCCTTTTGGATAATAGGGTGTGGATTTGTGATGCTTCACTTGGTAAGTCTCTAGGAGGCCCTTCACATATTTGTTTATGAAGGGTGTGCCATTGTCCGAAATGATGGCGTTTGGTACTCGGAACTGGGAAATGATATTTTCCTTGATAAAGCTCGCAACTGCGGGTCCAATAGCATTCTTCAAAGGGATTGCTTCGATCCATTTTGTGCTCAATTCCGTAGCTACAAGGATTCACTTGTACCGTTTGGAAGGTGTAGAGATAGGCCCTATTAGGTCAAAAGCCCAGGTATGGAATAGCCATGGCGTTCGGATGCTGGGCAGGTCCACGGCTGGCGCATGGATCAAATTTCCGTAGTTCTGACAAGTCTGGCACCTCTTCACGTGATGGGACACATCTGACTCCATGGTCGGCCAATAATACCTAAGGTGTATAAGTTGCTCGAACAGCTGAGCCCCTCCTTGATGCTCAATTTCATGGGCTCTTTCGAGGACTAGATCTGACTCCTCCTTAGAGAGACACCTCAGGGGAGTGCCCTCAATACTTCTTCTGTAAAGCTGTTCTGATCAAGAAAGTACTGCCTTGCTCTCCTCTTGAGGTGTGCAATGTCCCTTGGGCTTTCAGGTAGTGTTCCCTCTTTGAGATAGTCAATGTAGACTTGCCTCCAGTCAGGGGTATCAATTTCAAAGCAACTCTCATCCTCCCGGATGTATGACTGACACTTGGGGCATTCCCTCTGTAATTGATTTGAGTCCTTCTCCATCTCGGGCCAATAATAACCTTGTCTTTGGATTCTTCTATACAGACTGATATCCCCATCCCCGCAAGACTTTTCATGGATCTGTTGTAGTCGGAAGCTTGCTTCTTGTTGGCCAACACACCGGGCTAGGAATCCGGTACCTCCTCGGAAGTAAAGTTCACCTTGAATAATTGTGAATTGGGCAAGCTTGGCCATAGTCAGTTTTCCAACTTTGCTTCTGAGTTGGTTCGAGAATTTCTTCTCTCCAGTCCTTTGGAAGGTCTTTGCTCTTGGGAATTATTGAAGGCTCCGTTCTCTTCTTGATAACGATTGTCGCCTCCTCCTCGGGAATGTCAACTCTTACCCCTAGTGTTGCGAGGGCATCTGAAAACTTGTTGTCGGAGTGAGGCATATGCTCTATTTCGACCTTCTGAAATTTGTCAAGAAGCCTTTGGATTGTCGTGCGGTATGTGGCCAAGGTAGGCTCTTTTAAAACGAATTGTCTTGAAACTTGCTTCACTATCAGCTTCGAGTCCCCCCAAATTCGAATCTTCTTGATACTGTGCTTCTCAACTGCTATCAAGCCCAAAATAAGAGCCTCATACTCGGCTTCATTATTCTAACAATGGAAGTCCAGTTTGTAAGACAAATACAATTTTTCTCCACTTTTGCTTGTAAGGACTATCCTGGTTCCACTTTTCCCTCTAGCTGCTGCTCCGTCAAAGCTTAATGCCCAAAAGCTTTCCTTGGAAACCATGGCTGCATGCACTTCTCCTCTCAATTCTTCACACATTGGTTCATAGTCACCACTTGGAAATTGGGTAAGGAGATCAGCTAAGGCTTGGCTTTTGATCTACTTGGGAGCTACATACGTGATCTCGAATTCACCCAGTGTTAACAACCATCTTGCCACCTTCCCGGTTAGAGCAGGCTTGCTGAGGAGGTATCGAATTGGATCACTTCTGGTAACAATCTGAATCTGATATGCTAAAAAGTAATCTTTGAGCTTTTGGGCAGTGAATACCAAAGCTAAACAATGTCTCTCTACCGGAGTATATCGGACTTCTGCTCCTCGAATATTCTGGCTGATGTAATACACCAGACGTTCTACAACATCTACATCTTGGACCAATAATGCCCCTATAGACTTAGGGGTTGAAGTTAGGTACAACATTAGAGGCACCCTGGGCTGCGGGGCTATCATGGTCTGAGGTGAGGTCAAGGCCGCGTTGATTCTCTCGAAGGCCTTTTGGTGCTCTTGGTTCCACTCGAACTTGGCATCTCCTTTTAACAAAGAGCCGAAGGGGGCAGAGATCTCTGCAAGTGCTGGAATAAACCTCTGAATATAAGACACCTTCCCGAGGAACTTCTTTAACTCCTTCTAAGAATGCAGGGGAGGCATGCTCTGATAAATTTGACCTTGTCTTCATCTGCCTCGATACCATACCTATGTACAAGAAACCCGAGAAACTTTCCGATCATCACCCCGAAAGCACATTTGAGAGGATTCATCCTCATTTTGAATTTCTGACACCTCTTGAATACTTTATCAAGGTCTCGGAGATGGTCCTCTTCTTTCTTGGATTTCACCACTAGATCATCAACATAATCTTCCACCTCATAATGGATCATGTCATAAAAGATTGCAGTCATAGTTCTTTGGTAAGTTGCTCCGGCATTCTTGAGTCCGAAAGGCATAACTGTATAGAAGAAGTTTTTGAGAGATGTTCTAAAAACAGTCTTTTCTGCGTCCTCTTCGGCCATCTTAATCTGATTGTATCCGCTGAATCCATCCATGAATGAGAACATCCGGTGTCCTGAGGTGGCTTCCACAAGAGTGTCGATGTGATGTAGAGGAAATTCATCTTTCGAGCAAGATTTGTTCAAATCTAAAAAGTCTACACATACTCTGATTTGACCATTCTTTTTCTTCACTGGTACTATGTTTGCCAACCATGTAGGGTATTGTATTGACCTGATGAAACCTATCTATTGAAGTTTTTCAATCTCCTCCTTAATTTTCTCTTCGAGATCTGGATGATATTTTCGAGCAGCTTGCTTGATTGGTTTGAAGTTTGGGAGCACATCAAGATAATGAAAGACTAGGTCAGGATTTAGTCCGGGCAGTTCCTTATATGACCAAGCAGACACATCTGAGTACCGGCTTATCAATGTTAGTAACTACTCCCATTGTTTTGGGCCTTGGAGCATCTTGTCCATCACTCAAATCTACTTCAATAAGTTGTTTGGGCTGAGGCTTCGGCCCATCTTGCATGCATTCTGGAGCCACTTTAGGCTTTATTACTATGTCATTGTCAGGAGGCTCTCCTTTTGACTCAGAGTCGGTGGCTAAAGAAACCGACTCCCCGCACCTTCACAAATAATACACCATCTTGCCCTCTTCTCGGACTTTCATCACCTTTTGAGGAATAGGCGAACTTTCTGGTCGAGACATTGTCCGTTTACTTGATTCTGCCCTTGGCTCCTTGTCATCTTGGATATCCTCCCAACGAGGAATTTTGACCCCCCGAGGCTTAGAGGTAGTGGGAATTTCTTCGACAGAAAATTCGGTAAAGTAGATGGCATCAAAATAATGAGCTTCATGGGTCTCGAAAGGCTTTTCTGTAGCCTGAATTTCACCGTCTTCTTTCCCCATTTAGCCTTAACATACTGATGATAACTTGACGATACAGCCCCATATCTATGCATCCAGGTCCTCCCTAGAATGATGTGATAATTTGCCTCGGAATCGATAATATAGAACTTGGTGGCCGAGTGAATCTCTCTGATGGCTAAATCAACTGTTACGCATCCTATAGTAACTCTCATTTCTCCACTGAAGCCAGTGATGACTATCGGCTACTTCATAATGCGCTCTTCAGAGATTCCGGCCTTCTCTAGAGTAGCGCGGGTCATAATGTTGATAGAGGCTCCACTATACCCCGTTAATAAAAGCAGTCACATAAAGCGGGCGGTTGTGAGAAAAGAGATACTTTCGATCAGTCTCAGAGAAAGTAATGGCACTAGATTACTCTTTTGCATTCATTGGAATAGATCCCTCAGTCGACATGCATTCCTCATGGTGTGCCTCAGCTATATTAATGATAGACTTGGTGATTTTTGTTCTTGCCTCCCTAGAAAGTCCAAGCTGGTCGAAGAATTGTTTGAACTCTACACAGTCTTGCAGGGTTTTGGCATAGTGATCCAAATCTTTCTCCACTCTTGGAGGCTCGTAGTTAACCATCTCTTCGGTCTCTTCAAAATAATATGCCACATAAACATGGTGTCCTCCTCTTCCGTAGTACTATTCTGCTCCTTCTAGATTGAAGGGACCTTTGACATGAGTCATAAAGGCTCTGCCCTCTAGATCGAGAGAACTTCCATAGTAAACTTGCTCACCCTTGGGCTCGAAGATGTTGTCCAGATAACAATCATCGTCATCAAGATTAGCGAGAGCCACAATCATCGGGCCTTCATAAGCTATCATAGCAACATTCTTGCCATTGTCTCGGTGCTGAAGATATGGTTGCTCTCGGATATCTTGAGTCCCTTGCTTTTTGAACCTCAATTCGTCTGCCTCAACTTTATCTTTGAAGTTTTTTCGGAGTCCAACACTTCTCTATCGAATGTTTCAATGTATGATGATAGTCGCAAAACTCGGGGCTTTCGCGGTCCTTCTTTGATGGAATTCCTTCAACATAAGGCAATTTTAGTTCTCCGTCGGTCACCCATTCCTTAACTAGAGATTTTACCTCCTCGATTCCACATGGATAAGAAACATTGCCCTTTTCACCACTATATTGTTTCCTCTTCTGGCCTCTATGACCCCCTCCTTGTGACTTTCGGGTATCTGGGGCAGAGGCAGCTGCAACAATAACAATAGGTCCACGAGACGATTTAAAGCTAGTCTTGTAACTGGCCTTAAATCCAGACTCCTAAGTCTGAGGAGTGCTAATGTTCCGAGCTACTTCTATTAGTGCCGAGAAGGTGGGTAGCTTGTGATTAACTAGAAACAGTTTGTACCTATTCAATGCCCCCTCTAGACAGATTTGAACCAGATAACTCTCCTCCACAGCTTCATGGCAATCCACAGCCTTATCCTGAAACCTTTTGACGCAGTCAAGGATGTCCTCACTTTCTCGTTACTTTTCCTTACACAATGTAAGTGTGGTCACCCTTCTCCGCCACTTGAAAGAACTTGGAGTGGAATATGTGAACCATTTCCTTCCAACTTCGGATAAAGTTTGGGGCCAAATTAACATACCAACTATGCTCGGTCAGTGAGGGACTTAGAGAATTCTCTCAGTTGGAGGACATGGTTTGAACCATGAATACCCAGGGTCTCGATGAACTGCGCAACATGTTCTCGAGCATTTCCTTGTTTGCCATCAAATTTGATGAACTTTGGCACTATATACCCCTCAAGGTATGGATAGCTCAGCATCTCAATAGGGTAAGGTGACTTGACATCCAGATCAGGCAAAGAGGGTAAAGTCCTTTTGCCTTGTTTCAGATCGAACATGGCTTGCACATCGGCGAGAGTGAGAAACTGTTGAGGGAGAGAGTTTGATGGTGGCATTCCAAGAACTTGGCTTATGGACCCGAAGACTGAGTTAGGAGTGACTTGGCCATTTTGGTGTTAAGAATTCATCATTGGCAAAACCACTTGACGATACTGGCCATCAGCGCCTATGGACAAGCTAATCGGTGATAGGACATTGAATTGAGGCCCGTAAAGTCCACTACACGGCGCAGCTATACCGGGTTGGGCTTGCAAATTTGTTGTCGGCACCAAAGGACGCCCGCTTGGTACTTGAGTAACATTTATTGGTGGTGTAACAAGATTAGGTACGAACAGAGCTCTTTTTTGCACCATCATGCCCCTTATATTTGCTTGGACACCAGTAGTCGCCGGAGCGCCATTCATTGCACCAGAACTGTGACAACCCTCACCACTGATTACTACTAAACTGTGACTGAGCATGATAAGTAACTGATTAGGATGAAATCCTAAACTAATTGCATGAATGTGTTATGTTAAATGCATTTCTATCTGTTTGACTATTAACTGATCTATTCATGTTTTATGTTTTAAAGTGCAAATTGAAGGCCTTATCAGCGGCCGAATCCGAAACTGATTAGTGTTTTATGATTATTAGAATTTATGTGACTTTATGGTATGTTTAATTGAAATTTGATTTGGTATGATTAAATTGGATTAAATAATGTTAAATTACATTAGTTGGCTTATTTACCAAAATACCATTAAGTGGACTTTGCTAGACCAAATGTTTAGTCTTGATTTACATGTGTTGGCATCACTTTTGTTCATCTCTGAGAGACCAAACCGACTAGAGAGAGAGAGAGTTAGGAGAGCTTTGGTTTCAACAAGATTTGCTTGGAAAATTAGAAGAATTGAAAAGTAGATTGCATAATTGAGCTTCTAGACTTGAAATTGAAGACCTAAGGTAGGAGAATCATCTTCTTGAACTTGTATTTAAGTCGTATCTTGCATGTTTCATGGAAGTTTGGTGATTAGAGTCTAGGATTGGTTCAAAATGTTGAATTGAAGCTTAAATCATGCATGCATGTATACATTATTGAGTTTTGAGGTTGTTTTCATAGAATCCTCACATGCATGTCCATATTCTAGCTTTGGTCCATGAATTCAGCATGTTTTTAGAAGGATTGACTCATTTGTTCTTGTATTAGAAGCTTTAAAGTTGATTAAATTCATGCATGTTGCATGTACATCATGTTCTTGAAGTTTTGTTTGGAAATGGGTTCAATTGAACTACCTTTGGGCTTTGATTTTGCAAATTAATCTTTGAAACATGTCATAATATGAGTTTTAAAGTGTTTTTCAGAAAATTAGCCCAAAATGATCGAATTTGATGCTTTAAATGTTGAGTTTCATGCTTGGAGATAAATCTGGAAATTCCAGATTTTGGATCCACGCTCGAGCGAGGAACTTCACGCTCGAGCGTACACTCTGAGTTCATGCAGTCTGCTCGAGCGGGAAAAGTAACGCTCGAGCATGAAATGAGTGTATCCAGTACTTTGTATGTGTTTACAGTCCGCTCGAGCGAGGGAATGCACGCTCGAGCGAGGACTTGTGTCTCACGCTCGAGCGGGGGTCGAGCGCCCGTCGAGCGTGAATTTCATGCATCTAGTACTTTTGCAATCCCCTTGAGCGAGGCAAGTCACGCTCGAGCGGAGCTCCTTTGTCTGCATGTCCACTCAAGCATAGAAAGCCACGCTCGAGCGAGACCCCTGTTTTCTGAAAATTCTGAAAAGTGTTTTAAAGTACATCTTTGCATCCTCATTTCATCCTAGGCATTCCTAGGCCTAGTTTAAGGCATCTTAATGAGATTATTGATGTAGAACCACACCGAGTCAAGATAGGGACTAAGTTATTGATTCCCAAACGTGCAACTTAGTGTGTATTCATCCTGTAACTGTGTAGGGTTGGCATCCGAGGACGCTCACTAGCCTATCTGTAGCCCAGAACTCTGTGAGTAACAATGTTGTAAAGATATGTTCAATCATGAATATTTTCTGAATGATCTACTGTATTGCTTTCTGAAATGATATTTCTTACTGAATGAATGATGTCCTATTGATGAACTGTACTCGTGGTATCCATAGCAACTTACTATTACTGTACTGCTACTGTCACAGAGATCTCTGTCGGTTCCCATGTTGGAACCACTACTGTTTACTATTATGATGGCCATTAACTGACTGTTCGGTCTGTTAAGACCTACTGTACTGTTTTGCTATTGGATATACCACTTATAACTACTATGGTTTCTAAATGACTGATATGACTGTTTAATGACTGAAAGGACATTCATTCTTAACCTCTTTACGCATATGTTATTCACTGGGCTTTAGCTCACCGTTTATATATATATGTAGGTGTCCAGGCACCGGATCGGACCTAGGAGCGTTGGGTTAAACTCCCTTTTTGTCAAGCCAACCACTGTGCCTCACTGAGAGGTTCCAAGTCCTTCAAGCCAAGGCTGCTTCGGGGTGTTTTAGATTCCCCCTTCCTGTCTCTGTTTTGTATAGACTGTATAGACTTGTACTGTACTGTTATGGTAGGGATTTGATCCCTAACCTGAATGCCTGTATATGATGTATGTATATACTGCTTTTGTACTGAATGTGAATGTGTTATGAAAAGTCTTTTGCATACAGATTGTCACAGCTCATTGGACATCTTTTATTACTGTTTTGGCTTCCGCCAGCCCCTGTACTCTGTATTACTGTTATTATTGTTAAGCAGGCCTTCGGTAATCACGGATTACTGGTCGGTTACGGTGCTAAACCCATAGGGGCGGTTTTGGGTCGTGACAAGAACCTCCCCTAGTCACCATTGGATCTTGGCTTGGCATGCCATGGAGCCCGGGCGTGGGCAAACTGCTGTCGCCTACTGTGGTTTGAGCATGTGTTACTGTGGTTGTGTTGTCATGAACCACAAGCTGACTGGGGCCTACTTTTCCTTGGATTTGATTTTACACTCCGGCGGGGATAACTCCACTGCCAGTTTGATTTCCGTTTGGCGCCGGTGCAAAATTAGAACTCATCACCAATATGGTGTGAGTGAGATTTTGAAGAGTGGTAAGAATCTCCTGCTTAGTATTTTGAAGTCCTTGAATGGCTTCAAGTAAAAGTGGTTGATCTGGAGCCATGGTTCTGTCATCGCCACCATTAGAGGATCCTTGTTGGTGAACTTCATCTTCTCCTGCCATCCTTGCTGAAGTTGTGTGGGTTCCAAATCTCGTTGAGACCATTAACCAATCCGCCTCCCCAGTGAAGTCGCCAAATGTATGAGAGGGTTCAAGAACGTTATCGGAAAATTTGAAGACCTTCGAAGATCTTTGAAGAAAACTCGAGTTCTCTATAAATAATGAGAGGCTTAGATTCTTCAATAGTCACAACTAAGAACACAAAAGCAAAAAGATGATGGAGATAAGAGATTGGGTGAAGAAGAAGGCAAAGTAGTTAGAGAGAGAATAATTGCAAGGATCTCTCATGGATCTCCCACTTTCACTCTCAAGGTTGATAATAGAGGAGGGAAATTAATTCTTTCCCAAGAGTTATCTCTCCAAAATTCATCCCTTGTAAAGCTATGGGTTGGTGCTACTTATAGGCACCTCATGATGTAGAATGGAGCCCATATGCAAGGCACATGGGGAATATTCTCTCTAACCACCTTGTCTGAGGAGGTGACCTCTCCGAGGATGAGAAAAATCCCGAAGAGGAGATCAACCTCTCGGCGAACTCTTCTTCTCAGCCACACCTAACCAATAATCCCCAATCATCCCAAAGGGCCGAGGTAGTCCTAGAGGACCCTACGCCGCTAAATATTGCCAAGTCTCATGGACCCCCGGGGGTTGTGCCACCTCGACCCGGGTATAAGCTAGTTTAACTGAAGAGTGAATTTATCTCCACTCGCCGTCTTCGAGATCGGGTCCTTTGTTCAAACTCCATTACGCCCATGGTTCTACTGCGTAGATCCCGTAAAGCTCCGAGCCCGCAAGTGTTCTAGGACTCACCAATGGAGCGGCTTCTAGATTGCGATCAAATCTGCTCGAAGCCCGAGTGCCTCAGATCTCTAGGCTTGCTCAATACCCTTTCGAGTCCGGGCCCAAATAAGTCTCTAAGTTCGTGGATCCGAACCCTTTCGAGGCTTAGAGCGATTTGACCCGTTTGATGGTGATAAAACCAAGCCCTCCAATCTTGGACTTGCGATAAATTCGGGCCCACCAACCTTGGACTATTGGGCCTAATTAATTTAGTGGGCTCAAATTAACTCCTCTTACACTAGGAAGCTAACAATTTCTTCAATCTCATATTTTAGCAAAAAATTGAAGTTTACACAACTTTTTTTTTCCTTCATGAAGTGGTCCATTTAAGAATTTTCATACAGAATCATTCATCAGAATAATGTATCAGTGGCAGTTTTGTTACTAAGAAATATCTAAAATGAGTTTTTATTTTAATATTAACATGTCCATAATTCTATCACTTTAAACCATTTCTGTTTGTGTTATTACTCGAAAAAAATCAACCAGGGACGAGTGAGATATATATACACCAATGTGGAAGACTATATAAGAAGCATTTAGCTGTAGCTACTGCATATATTTTCACTTTGACTTAAAACATATATGCAATCCTCCGTTAACATTCTATACTGGCCAGGGCCTGGTTGTTCATCACTTGGGATGGGAGCGATGACAGAGATTGGACCTTTTGGCGTAAATCCTGACGGTAAAACGCTTTATACAAGAGCTCATGCATGGAACAAAGATTGGTGAAGCCGTATTTTGATCAAAATGCCCAAATTTCTCAAGTTTCCTAACTCATTTCTTCTTAATTGCCCGAGCGTTGATGCTTGTTAATGCCTTGACTAGTTACAATAAGCTGAATTTTTTGCTCGTAATTTTTTTTTTTTTTTGATGCAGTTGCGAATATATTGTTTGTGGAGTCCCCGGCAGGCGTTGGATTCTCCTACTCCAACACCACCTCTGATTACAAAGTGACAGCGGATAAAAGGACTGGTAAGTTGTCACACAAAAACAGCCTCCCCACACGCCCAAAGACGGTAATCTCAATTATAGGGTCTCATTCGTGTACTTGTCTATTGAAGCTCAAGACGCATACACCTTTCTGATTAATTGGTTCAAAAGATACCCCGCATTACAAGGCTAGGCACTTCTATATAATTGGAGAAGCTAAGCAGGTACGTTTAAACTTATCACAGTAATTTTTCATAGAATCAGTGCACAAAAATGTAGTGCTGGCAATGTTGGATGGACCTGCATTGTGTCCACATTTTTGGAAAGATTTCTGTGTATACAGGAAATTAATTTATCTTATTCACCTGCTTTTGGGATTTTTTCTATTGAAATTATGGATAATAGGACCAAAATACCCCCCTCTCTCTCCTGTCAGCATAATGCATATCTTATGGTGCCCAGCTACTCGTTTGTTTGCTAATGTGATTATTAATTTTGTTAAGACAATCTTAATTTGCAAGGTTTTACATTCCAGAACTAGCTGATACTATTATAAAGCGAAACAAAGAGGTCGATCCAATCTTGATGATCCAACTTAAAGGAATCATGGTAAACAAACTATCTTACATAAGTAGAAGAACTACATTGCTACACATTGTTGACAATTTTTTTGAGCATTTGACAAATTATTATTATTATTATTATTTTTTCTGGTAAATAATATAGATAGGAAATGGGATAATGAATGATCGCACCGATGACATAGGAACATTGGATTACGCCTGGAGCCATTCATTGATTTCGGATGAAACTTATCGAGGACTTCTAAACCATTGTATAATGACGCCCAATGACACGAAAAAATGTAATGATTTTATTGCAAGAGAAGCCAAAGAAATTGGTTACATAGATTATTACAACATCTACGGTCCAACATGTTTGGATTCCTCAAAGTCACCAAGAAAGCCAAAATGCCCCGGAGATTATGATCCCTGTGAATCTGACTGTTAATGCTTATCTCAATCTTCCTCAAGTACAAGAAGCGTTACACGCCAACAGAACCAAACTGCCCTATACATGGCAGCTTTGCAGGTTTACAATCTTTGTTATGAATATCTTCTTCTTTAAATAAAATAAAAAACCCCACGGTTTGAGTGGAAAGTGAAAACAATTTGATGAATGGAAATTCAATTTGAAAATGCTTCTTATGGATCTGTTCAACACTGAATTTGGTTGATTTTGTACAATCTGAACTTTGTTCTAAAACATTAAAAAACAATTGAATTGATACTCTCTCTCTCTCTCTCTCTCTCAGCGATGTGACTGAAGGTTGGAATGATAGCCCATCAACCATGTTCCCGATATATAGAAGGCTCATTGCCTCTGGCCTTAGTATACTTATTTACAGGTAATTCAGCTCTTATTTAATAGTAGGTTAATAATTGTCTAAGTAATATCGCATTTCCAAATTCCATGCTAAGCTTAAATTAAAGAACAACGTAAAAGCACTAATTTTTTGATTATTTGATTTCTAACTCTATGAATATGTGAACATATTATGGACAGCAGTGATGTGGATGCAGTTGTTCCAGTGACTAGCACTCGATATTCCATAGATGCGTTAAAACTTAAAGTGATCAAACCTTGGCATCCTTGGACCGATGATGGAGAAGTATGTTTCCATGCTTTTAATTTAGTTTGAGCACATTTTCAAATTTATTTATTTATTTTTAATTTTAATTTTAATTTTTTTTTTTTGCCAGTTTCAGGCAGCGGGATATAAAGTGGTATATGATGAATTGACTTTCGCAACAGTTCTAGGCGCTGGTCATCAAGTTCCAATAATTCAGCCGTGCAGAGCTTTGGCCTTATTTAAGATGTTTTTAGCAGGAAATTAAAGTTGGAATGCACGTGAATTTGACTGTTAACTACTACTATTATTCGTGTTAAATAAGATTAAATTGCTTCGAATCAAGTTAAATATATGTCAATCTATTTTATTGATGGCTAATTTGAGATTATCAGTTTGAAAAGGGTGAGTCTTTACTAGCAGAGACACCATCGAAGAAAAAGTTCAATTTCTAAAATATTGTTGTATCTTCCATGGAAGCACATCAATCGACTTCGCTCTTCGTTGTGCTATGGATCTCAGCTGAGTGGATTACCATGTTGGTGACAAGATTGAATGAGTTTGGTGCTAAAAATTCAGTAGACTCTGATATATTTTTGATGTTGAAGAACATTTAATGATTAAACCTCACCAAAAAGCAGGCCTGTTAGTTAACCTTTCGTTGTCCAACTCTTCACCCCTCTTGTTATTGTCTTCATTTTGGCACGATATGGGGACGGAGAGAGAGAATTTTAAAAATAAATCTTGTGATTTGTGAATCTTGGTAAAAACCCAAAATGAAAAAACACAAGAAAAACATGTTTCAGCAAACAAAAATCATTGTAAGATGTGCAAAGCATAGATAATGTCAATGGGGTTGAAAGTCCAACAAGAAAACTTCCAAAATGTGTCACAGAAGTTTGTATAAAAGGCATGATAATTGGATCGATCAAACAACATTTGGTTCTGTTTTGCATCAATGAAGAAAGTCGCAATCCTACTACCGCTTTTTCATTCATGCCTTGTTGCTTTAGTCCATTGTTATGGAGGAATTGGATTTGACCCCCTTGAGAAAATTTTAGAAAAACAATCTTCGAAACAGCAGGAAGTCAATTATGTCACTGAGAGCACGGCCACAGAGTATTCACCGGTGTATGTAGACCCTCAAGATGGACTGAAAGCTGCTGACAAGATTGTATCTTTGCCGGGGCAGCCTAATGGAATTAACTTTGATCAGTACTCTGGCTATGTTAGGGTTGATCCCAACGCTGGCAGAGCACTTTCTACTATTTTTCCGAGTCTCAGAATTCTTCTAGCAAGCCTCTTGTGCTGTGGTTAAATGGAGGTGATTTCTTGCTAGTTTGTGATTCTCGTGTTTCCATTATTTGTCATCTCACTCTCCCTAGAACCCGTAACAACAAGAGTCTCGTAAACACCAATAATCGCAATTTAAAGGCTTAAATAAACAACTTTGGCAATCTAGAGCCAATCATAGCGTAGCGGTGAGTTGTGCTAGTTTGGCTATTTCAAATCAAATAGGGTCCTCAAGTTCGACAAGTTTGAAAAATCTCTCAAATTACCGTTTTACCATCAAACCGTGATTAAGTCGGTATCAAATGCACATCTGCATTACCATTTCTTTTTGTCATCATTCTCACTATATCATCATTTTGCTCCCTAGGACCTGGCTGCTCTTCGTTTGGCAAAGGAGCAAAGATGGAGCTCGGACCATTTCGAGTCAACAGCGATGGATTAACTCTATCAGAAAACAAATATGCATGGAACAATGGTGAGTATGCTCATGTTTCTGTTCCAAACCATTAATCAAATTCTTAAAAAGTACGCGACAATCATTCGTAATTATGACATTCTGGCAATGCAGCGGCGAATATACTTTTCCTTGAGTCACAGGCCGGTGTTTCTTACTCAAATACTACATCAGATTATGACAAAAGTGGAGATGCTAGAACTGCAGCTGATTCCTATACCTTTCTACTCAACTGGTTGGAAAGGTTTCCAGAGTACAAAACCAGAGACTTCTTCATAACCGGAGAGAGCTATGCCGGGCATTATGTACCCCAACTTGCTCAATTAATCCTTCAAAATAACAAAATCACCAACCAAACTGTCATTAACTTGTAAGGAATTGCTGTAAGTAGCCAATTTTATTTTATTTTTTAAATTTTTTTGTAAATTTCTACAACGTAATACATGTGTGATGCAGTGGAATATCACACGATGTCTAGATACCATTTTAGAATATGAGAAGGTCTTGAATCTGCAAAGATGTGAAACTTTGAAATTTTACTAAAATGAATTACCTCTGAGAGTGATTTATATGTCTGTTAATAATAGATTAATCCTAGTTCTTGTAGAACATGAAATAGCTAAGAAAAAAGAAAATTTAGCAAATTTGAATACCACATGGTGTAGGAAAATATCGAAATAACGCGCACTGAAACTAAAACCCCCTAAACTATAAGTCATAACTAATAGTAGTTTTTTTTTTGTTCTTTTGATCGGAAAACAAATTTTTTATTGATGCAATCGAAGAAAAGTAACATACTAACACAAGGTATGTTAGGTCTGATAAGACAATTAAATTTGAAGTAATTCTGAACTCATTCTGTAACTGGTTGACATTGTTAGCTCGACCTCTGTTTCTTGACCTCTTCTTGAATTCATGTCAATCCAAGTTGTTCTAAAAACTCTTCGGCTACTTATCCTACTAACACTGGTGTTCTTATGATGTTAATTCAGATTGGAAATGCATATGTTGACTACGAAACAGAATACACGGGGGTGTCCAACTTTTCTGGACCACAGCTCCTCATATCTGATGAATTTATGAGGGAAGTTGTGCAAAACTGCTAATTTTTCGTCGGATTGCAAGACAATCGTTAACTATGCCAAAGACCTACCTTGCTCAGCAGGCGCTGCTGGAGGACATCTACCCCTACAACATCACGCTCCCTTATGCCTCATCATCTTCATAACGCCTCCCCAGGTATAACTAACTACTACTACTAAAGATTTCTTTTCTTTCCTCTTTTTTGTAATGATCATGGAAAAATATAATCATGGAAAGATTTCCCACATTAGATTAACACATACAATAAAACACCACACACGAATCAAAGGATAAAAATCTTCATGAAAATATTTCATGAAAATTTTTTTCATGATCCTAATATTAATTCTTTTGTTCTGATTTTCTGAGTTCCAACTTCCAGGTATCGATATTTGATCCATGCACGGAAAATTATATCGCAGATACTGAACATTCCTCAAGTGCAAAAGTCCCCTTCATGCAAATGTCACTGGTCTTCTTCCAGGGCCATGGCAATCTGCAATAATAATGCCATCCCCAAATTCTTATAAGCAAAGCTTTATATTTGGAGTATTTTACATATCCAGAAAGTACCTAGAAAATTATTTAAAAAAGTTTAATGTTAGACATGAACCCGACTTTAAAACTTCAGTAACATTTTTTTAATTTTCAATGATAACGTTTTCAAATATGTAAATTACAGCTTATCTGCTAATTTCTTTTATCTAACATGTCTTCAACTGCATCTGATACAGTGACTATATCGGTACGTTTGGAATGACCAGCCATTTAAACAGTGTTACCATCATTCAGGAGCTGATGGCTAGTGGTATTAGTGTTTGATTATAGGTAGCCTAACATTTGATGCTAAATGCATAAATATTTTTTTACATTATGTTATTTATGAATTTTGTTAATTTCTGTTTAATACTTTTGTTATTATACCATTTTCCCTTGACAATTTTTACCAATAAGGTAATTGCAATTGGGAATTAACTAATAGGTAATGCAAACAAGAATGTGCTTAATTCCTATAATTTCCAAGTTCCCAAAATGCTAAAAACTAACCCTTAATTAAAAAAGTGGGTATAGCTTCCCATATGATCTCAGTAAGTAATTAATTTTATTTGGCAGCGGAGACTACTGATAGTGTAAGTGCCAGTGACAACAACTAATATGGTATAGAATGAGAACTCCAAACATCAGTTAAGACAAAATGGTACCTTGGTACCTTCAAGGAGAGTAAAAACAAAGAAATCCTTAATATATACTCATTAATATTTGATTAATTTTAAATTGTGACATTTGTTTTCACATTTTTCCCACCTCAAATGCGGATTAGATGATCAATATATATTATATATAGCAACTCTCTAATGTCAAGAAAAATTAATTTGTACCGATTTTTTCTTACATTTTTTTTATATAATCATTTTGTTGTAAGGTTGGTGGATACGTAGTTGGATATGAGAACTTGACATTTGTGACAATAAAGGGACTGCGCATTTG